TTTACCTAATAAAAATAAAATTGGTTTATTAAAATGAAAAAAGAAATTAACCACAGATCTATCTAAAGTAATATTAGTTGTTACATAAATAAAAAAAAATACTAATAAAACTATGTAAATCTGATTCCGCATTAAAAAGAAAAACTATGGGAAACTGAGATTCCACTATGCCAATTTGTTGTACACAGAGTTATTGCCTTAAGGGACAAAACTTTAGATCTTATAAGATTGGTTTTATGAATTTATCAAGAATTCTAGGCCTACTCAAAAAGTAATAAAAATTACTCCAATAACAAAGTTGTATATTGGAGTTTGTTAATTTAAATACTGGTACATAATTAGTATTTAAGAATAAAAATAAAGAAATGTACACATATAGGAACTGAAATCAAATTTATATCATTAATCATTTGAACATGTTAAAACATTTTAGCAACAGTTTCCAGCTGAAAATGAAAATATGTGATGTTGTGCGGCCAAATATATATAGTTTTGACACCTTAACTTTGAAAGCATATAAAATGTTGTGACAAAAGAGAAAGGCTATTCGTATGAGCAAAAAGAGCATCTGATTTTCCACATCAGTAAAGCCCATCAAAAAATACTTCACTGAAAGCCCAGATCAAATAAACTCCTGTTCGCTGAATTAGTGAAGTATAAGGAAAGGAACACTATCCATATATAACATTTACAAACATAAAACTTGAACATAAGACAAAGACATTTATATTTAGTGTTTCATCTGATGTGATAGATAAATATGGGTGTAACCATATAATTATGAAGTTAAAACATTATTAAGTATTACTTGGGCAGGAAATAAATATCTGTCATTCAAAAGTTTATTTAGTTTTTCCTTCATGTATTTATGTGCATATTAAGAGTGATTAGAATTTGATATTGTACAGTGGGTGAAATTGTGATAAACTGTTAGTATGTGATCAACTTTCATATTATTTGATATTCAATGATTCTTTTCATGTTTTCATCACTTTTATTATCTATTTCTACCAAATAATATCAAAAGATATTAAGAAACGATTGCTCAAAATAAACAGTTTATTTTAATATTTCATTTATACAGTTAGATATATATAGGCATAAAGGGTATATTTAATCATTCTATACTAGCGATCTGCTGTTAAAAACATGCATATTAAGATTAATTATTTTCAACGATCTTAGTGACAATTTGGGTAATACTGCACAAATTTTTACCTTCATTTCTGCTGTTAATTTCATTTTGGCATTTTCTGCCCTTCTTCTTAAATCCTCTATTTCATGTTGTAATCGTGTACATTGAATAATGTAATTGTTCTGAAAATATGTAGGGTAAAGATGAAATTATATGCAAAAAAAGCAAACTGTATAAACCAACATCTACATGTACCAAAGCAGCATTTCGTCTTTGCATGGATGCCACTTGGCTCATTGCAGAGTGAGAGAGAAGGATGGTTGAATCCCTGGACATAAATGAAGATTATGCTTCCAAATTAAAATGATATGCAGTTTAACATACTACTACTCTGCACTGACTGGGATAATAAAGATGGGCAAATGCCATACAGTGTCAGTGTGCTATGACGTAAATCTTGTCCCGATATCAAATTCCAACTGTCAAGGATTCTTTCATGTATATAGTAATGTGTACAAGGAACCTTGTTTATATATTTCATTTATTTTCTCTTATAGCCCGTTCAGACGCTTAAGTTGAACTGGTTTAAAAACCCCGGGGATCGTTAAAATAGTTTAACTTAAGCGTCTGAACACACATGTGGGGCAAATAAACCAGTTTAAAAACCCCAGCTCGCGACCTGTCTTCGAGAAGGCTTTTTATTTTAGCCGTCTGAACGGGTTGGCTTAAAAACCCCAGCTCCAGCTTGCTTTGAGCATGCGCAGTACGCAGTAAGTTACATTCCTGTGAAAATATCGGGGTCAGACTGTGCCAATGTTATCTAAAGCGTGCGAGAACCAAGTAAAGAATATGAAGCTACCCATGCGCAATTAACTCTAACCTCCGACTGAAGAGGTCAGAATAGTTAAACTAGTTTGGCTTATAGAACGTGTGAACGCAACACGATGCTGTCTTAAAAACCCCAGCGATTATGAACTGGTTTAAAAATAAGCGTCTGAACGGGCTATTATTTGTTAGTAGTGGCGGCAAAAACTGGAACACACAGAGAAAACAATATATTCTATAAGTATGTGAAAATGCCCCCTACTCCTTCTTACATAACATCGTGGGATAGAACTAAGATCTGGCATAAATTGTGCATTTCAGAATTTTAACAAGGAAGAAATCTGTGTAATTTTTAACTCTTATTATTTTTCTTTTACCTTAGGTGATGGTTTTCCATCTATATACTTTATTTGTTTTCCGTCTTTAGGACCTTCTAACGTTGACATAAGTTTGCGATGAATTGTCTCCAGTTCATGGCGTAGGCGATTAGTTTGATCCTCTAATGGTGATGTACGTTTCTTCTCCTCAAAATAACGTTTCTTCCACATATCTCTTGCTGTTTAAAAATCAAATTTTAAAAGGCTAAATTAAATATTTTTTTGTTTTAAAGCTTGGATCATTTAAAATTCTATTCTTTGAATACATTTCCTCTTTGTACAAATTTACAATACGATACAAAGCTTCACATGTACTATATATATAAACGATACATATTGATTTAAAATTATCCAGCAATAGGTTTTAGGAGGAAGATGGACTAATCTCTGTTTATTTCTATATATAATTTCTTTCAAAATACTTCTTCTATGACCACAAAAATAACACTACAAAGAATTTAAACATGCACAAATAGAAAACTGTGTTCTGTAAGGATAAGTGAAACAGTATAGGACAAGAATTATACATAAAAAAAATTCAAATATGTGCCCCTCTTTCCATACAAATTATTACCAAGTGCAAAATAAACACAAAGTCTACACAGATGTATGGGTGAGCTGTGACGAAACAAATACATTTAGTTTTACCCTCTCTATCTTCATGCATTGGGCGAGCTAAAAATTCATATTAAAACGGTTCATTTTAAAAATGAAGTTAGTATGTATTGAAATAACTGTTTGTACCACAAATATAAAATTGATATTTTCAGCAGTTTTATTGTCAAACGTTAACATAAGAACTTTATTCATTATTCTTAAAATACTGCTTCCGTACTTAAAATAATTTTACGATTCAGAAGCAGATACTTAATTCAAGTTATCTATCTGTTTCGCTCCAATTTTTAAACCTGAAATCCTACAATACACAGATATATATTTCTGTATTTACCATTATTTCTTCTATTTGTGGTTTTATGTTGTAAGGTTTTTGCTCGTTTGACTAGTTCCTCTCGGTCTTGTTCCGCTGCTCGTCTGCCATCTCTAGCCTCATCAAGTTCTGCTAATAACCTTTCCTCTAAAACAAAAGGTTATGATGAAAGACTATGTAATAATTTACACTTAATTAATTTACTAAACTCTTAAGTTTTGTCCAAGACAAGAATCATAGTCTACACTGATTAATGGTCTCAGTAGGTTGAATCTTGAGAACTCCTGATATAAACCTAGGCTGTTGACAGGCAAAGAAACTAGCATGATTTATTAAATGGTTTCACCTCAAACAATTTTTAATTTCTTTTATGTAGGTTTATTGAAATGAGAACATTATCTGAAATTCAGATAGCAACTGCAAGTATCCATGTGACAGTAGGCACTATTTTATCAGTCTTACTTTCATCCCTTCTCCTGGCATATGCTGAATCTGTATCTCTTACTTCTCTTGGCGACTTCATTTCTAGGGGTGGTGGGGAGGGAAAACCGTCCTAGAAACAAACCAAATGATAAAAATGTAAACATATACTTGATTTTGGTGGATGATACAATCATATTGTAACAACTCTAATGAATATCATTTTTAAATTTTACAAAATGGAGTTTTAATAAAACAATTATATCAACAAAATACGAGGAGTAAGTCTAAAATTGAAATGGGATAATATATTACTCAACTTACATCTTCTGACCCTGTTCTTCTTCTACGTCTATTACTAGGAGTATCCCTATCATTATCATCATCAACACTTCTATATCTTCTACTATTGCTATCATCATCATCATCATCATCTTTATCACTCCATCTATTTCTATCAGCATTTCTTCCATCATCATCTCCATTCCTCAATCTACCATTGTCACCATTCCGCAAACGATTTCGTCCGTTCTGACCTTCCCCATCATCATCTCCATCACCTTGTCTTCTGGCAGCTTCACGTCTTTTCCTTTCTTCATCTTCTCTTTTCTTTTCATCAACATTTGGTCCTCTTCGAGTCTGACCTTTTTTCTTATTATTGTCATCATCATCTCCACTCCTTCTTCTATAAGTAAGGTTATTGCGACTGTGTTTAAAATAAAAATATCACAAAGTGCACTCAAACTGTTGAAAAAGTGATAACATGTTTCAACTGTGGTATTTAATGAACTCAACAATTAATTCTTTCACTACCATGAATTATTCCAGTCTGACATGCCAAGGAGCCGCCAAATGCGATTTGACCTCACAGATCCGTGAATTTGTATCTGATTGGCTACGGATTATTAAATGATCTTTGAAAGCCAATCAAACCATACAATAGAGTGTTGACTAAGATATTTTTAATCTTTGTGACATGTTGGAAAATCCCTATAAGAGTATATATTTAGATAAATTAACTGGCTGGAAATTGACTTCATGTGTGAAACTGCAGTAGAGAGGAACTATATTGGCAACTGAGGACAAACTCTAATTTATTACTCAATGAAATTTTAGTCATGAGAATAACCTCCAAAAAGCTACAAATTTTTATTTTTGTAAAAAATTTGTTTTTAAAAAGAGAAACCAGTAACGTCTAACAGCTAAATAAAAGATGTCATGTGAACATTCGAAAATAAAGAATATATTCGAATACTGCTCGTAAACAAGAAGATATGCATACATAGTAATAAAATCAAACAAGCCATGTATGTTTTTAAAACCACTTGAAGTGGAAAATAAAACCAAGCATAAATTAAGATATTATGTAGGGCTTCCATTAGCATGAGTCTGCAAGTAACTTGGTCAAATAATGGAAATTTACTTGGTAGCGAAAGAGTTAAAAAGTACAAGATGTGCTTTTTAAAAATACAGTGTGGTTGTTGCAGTAACATTTTAAAATACATTGATAACCAAAGTGAGTGAAAAATACTGAAAACATCTGTGAATATTAATGTTATTGCATGGAGAACTTATATCCAGCTGAACAGGTTTTCCTGTTACTTAAATTTTTTGTGCATAAAAAAACTAACAGTGTTTAGATATATAGAAACATACATTTGACATCACAATACAAACTAAGGTGATTCCTATACTACAAGCGAAAAAGCACATACCAGTATAGTGAAATTTTTCTATTATCATTTTGGGGCTCTTTTTTATTAGATCTTGTTGATTATTATTATTTCATATCATATTGGGGCTCTAATCTACAAGGTCTTGTTGATTATTATTAAATATCATATTGGGGCTCTAATCTACAGGGTATTGTTGCTTATTATTTTAGCTATATGTACCCTTTCTTTTCATTTGCTCTTTCAGCTTCTCTTTTTCTTTTTTCTTCTTCTTCCTCCTCTTTTTTACGTCTTTCATTTTCTTCATCTCTTTTTCGCTTTTCTTCTTCCTCTTTCCTCCGTCTTTCTTGTTCCCTTTCAGTTTCTTCATCTCTTTTTTGCTTTTGTTCTTCCTCTTTCCTCCGTCTTTCTCGTTCCCTTTCTGCATCTCGTTTGTGTTGTTCATCATCTGCCAATTGTTGTTGTTCTTCGTCCCATTTTCTTTGTTCTTCTTGCCTTCGCCTCTCCGCTTCACGTTTTCTTTTATCTTCTTCAGCCTCTCGCAGTCGGTCATTTTTCTCTTTTTCTCTTCGCTCTCCTTCTAATCTATCTCTTTCTTCTTGATCTTGTAAATGTTTAGCTTTTTCTCGATCTAAGCGTTGCTGCAATTCTTTTTTTCTTCTGATGAAAATATTCAAATTGTGCATGACAAACTGGGACTCGGGCTAGTGGGGTCGTTAGGTATCTAATGGGATCTCGATCTCATTGTTAAAAGTGATCTATAGGATTTTGTCACCAACAAGTAATAGTAAGATCAACTTTATCAAGCGCTAATTTATGCAATGACAAGTTTGCAAGACAGGTTGACTCTAGCACATATAGGGAGCTATATGGGTATTAATATCATATCACTACTGGCATTTTATAATAAGTTGCAAAATATATTTTATCTTGCATAACAAGCACAACTTATACAAACATCTAAATTTGATCAAACTTAACAAACACATGCAGTGATAAATTATAATTGTTATTTTTACTTGCTTTAATTAAAACACAGTTAATTCAATAGTGAAATCTACACAAAACAAGCAGTGGATATTTAATAAAAAAATCAAAATTAATAGTGCCATGAAAAATTTAAACATTTAATTTAATGAAAAAAGTGTACGCTTACAGTATAATTTTACTTATGTTTTTTTTATGATTTAAGTACTTTTTTTAAAACACCATTTTTGGAGATCTAAATAATAAGTATAAAGAAAACAAGATTTACCTACCTTTCATAATCATCCAGATACGTATCTCTTTCTCTATCTTCTGGCGATAAGCCTGCAAAACCAGAGTCCTCGTTCGTTCTGATTGTGTTGGGTGAAGAATGAGGATCATAGCGACCTTTTGTGTGGCTTTCATTGGGAACTGGTTTCTCTGAGGAATGAGGGGATGTCTTATTATAATCTCTGTCGTCACTTTCGTCATAATTACCCCGCCTAGGTGGTGCTTTATGATAAGCGTCTGTTTGGGCAAGTATTTCATTTGGCTTTGTGTCTCTTTCATATGAGTGTGGTTGTTCTTCATAAAATTTATTTTTTGTGTATGAATGTGTATTGTTTGGATTATTTTGATTGTTTGGTTTATTTTGATTGTTTGGATTATTTTGATGTGTATTGTTTGGATTATTTTGATAGGGATCATATGAGGGAGAGTTCGTCCTAGAATTAGATCTAGACTCTATTCTAGGAAGGGGAGTGTATCTCAGAGAAGGGGTGCCTCTATTATTCTCTCGAGGTGTGTTGAAATTATTAGCTCCACCTATATAAATAGGAATGGAAAGAAATAAACTATCAATTTCTAAGAATAAGTTATTAAAAGCATTATTAAAACTTCAAACTAGCATTTTGCAGAAATTTGTTTAGATCAAATTTCATAATATTAGCATTGAGAATTATTGATTTCTAATAGAGGTTAATAAAGTTTCAGTGGCCAAAACTGAAATCTAATAGGATTAAATATGAATACTATTCTTCATACAATTCTTATATAATTTTTATTGTTATTTTTAGCATTGTTTGTTAAGATTTTGTTTAGTATTAGCATTTTTTATTTTTAAAGCTTCACATTCACAATTTCTGGATATTGTAACATTGACAAGGGTGAACAACAAGGACGATTTATAAGCATTCAATTCGTCTATATTTCAAATGTATACTTCATGTATGGGATATTATTTTCTTTATTAAGTGTCCAAGCAATTTTTGGAGTTTGGGTTAGTATTAAACAAATTAAATGAGGTATAAAATAAATGTAAGTCTATGTCATGAATCTAAACATGCAAGTTAAATAAGGGGACATAACAATGTAAACAAATGTAAACAAATGTAAGTATTATTTTGGGGTGGTTAATGTTAGTCTAGTGCAAAAGGTCGCACAAAAGGTTAGGTTTGCTACACACCATTCCATTCTTCTACCCTACACTAAACCCATTAAGATAATCCTGCCTCTAGAACTGACTTAAAATAAATGTACTACCACTAACATGCTATTTGATATTTTTGAAACATTATACGTGTGTGATAATGTGAATTCACTTTTTTGGAATTATCAATCTTCAAGATTTTCTGATCATGTAGTGTGCGTTAATGTTACTGAATAATTGCTTACAATAAAATCAACTTTTTAAAAACATAATTAGGAGCAGGATTATCTTAAAAAATACTTCCTGAAAAAAATTCTATTAGGATTAGAATTCATATATGATTATATGTTTTAACAAGCACATCAACTTACAGCTGTTTGAAATGACAATCTCTTTAAAAGTTGAATATCATGTACAGAAAAATCTTATAAAATCATATTCAGGTTTATCTTCTTTGAGCGGCATTTAGCAATTGACACACTAATAAACACACCAGCGGCTGCCAGGCAGGATACGTCCACATTTTGCAAGAGATGGATAGAGAACAAGCTAAACAAAAAGGGATTTTTCATACAATCAAGGGTCATAATTCAGGAAGTTACGATCCGATATACGCGAATATCAACAGTAACCAAGATCTTTGGGTTATAATGATATATTTCAAGTTTCATCAAAATCGGATCAACATTATGACTTCTAGAGGGTCCACAACCTTGATATACCATATATTTACACTATTTGCATACGAAGGGCAGCCATTTTGTCCAGCAGTTTTGGTCCGATTCGAACTCAGCCATCATTAGGGTGTCACAGTGATATATTCAAACAATTTTTTAAATCGGAGAAAAATTATTACCTCTAGAGTGACCACAAGCTAAAAATTTGATTTTTCGTACAATCAAAGGCCATAATTCAGGAAGTTACGATCCAATATGCATGAATTTTAAAAGGAACCAAGATCTTTGGGTTATAAACATGTATTTCAAGTTTCATCAACATCGGACCAAAATTATGACCTCTAGAGGGTCCACAACCTTGATATACCATATTTTTACACTATTTTTGTACGAGGGGCGGCCATTTTGTCCGGCAGTTTTGGTCCGATTTTCACGAAATTGGAACTCAAGCATCATTACAGTGTAACAGTGATATATTCAAACGTTTTTTTAAATCGGCTAATAATTGTGACCTCTAGAGGGACCACAAGCTAAAAACGTGATTTTTCGTACAATCAGGGGCCATAATTCAGGAAATTACGCTCCAATATGCGCAAAAATCGAAAGGAACCAAATTCTTTGGGTTATAAACATGCATTTTAAGTTTCATCAAAATCAGATGAAATTGTGACCTCTAGAGTGTCCACAAGCTAAAAAAGTGATTTTTCATACAATTAGGGGCCATAATCCATGATGTCATGATCTGATATACATGCCAATATCGAAAGGAACCTAGATCTTTGGGAGTTAGACCTATATTTTAAGTTACGTCAAAATCAAATAAAAATTTTGACCTGTAGAGTGTCCACAAACAAATTGTGGACGGACAGACAGGAGCGACGACAATATACGTCCACATGAAAATGTGGGAGTATAAAAACATAATATGGAACATAATTACTATTTTACTTTTTATATCTTTTGGATAGCAAATTTCCACATTGGAAAGATATAACCCAATAACCTACAGAGTTAGAGAATGTCATTTTGAAACCACTGTCTTAAACCATTTTTGTTATTAATTATTACTTAGGACTGGTTTTAGAATATAGACTGATGGTTATTGTTTATTTCCAGCTAAAATGATTAAAGTTAAAAGACTATGTGAAAACAGAAATTTCAACACACACTTTAGTTTTTAGACAAAGGCAGGATAGTTAGAAATGAGTATTATAATATAGTCAAACTGGCAGTGAACTTTATAAGTTGAATCTGTAATGTGTACTTGCCGAAAACTTTAAGGATTTTGTTAAATATGTCATAGTTGTGCAAAACATAGGGTTTCTATTATCTATATGTGCATATATTAGACAGGCTATAGCAATCAGACCCCTGGCACAGAATTAATAAGATGTTTAATGAACATATATCGTGCAATGCATACCCATGGCGGAGAATTAATAGTATGTTTAATAAACACATCATGCAATACCATGCATATTATAACATGATTAGCTTTCCATGCACATGCACCAAACATATAGTTAAAAGCTGTATTACAAACCCTTTTGAGTATTTGGATCACCACCTTCTATCGTAATAATATATTAATTATTAAACAAATTACATTGGGAATTTATAAAAGCAGGAAATTAAATCACATTAAACCACAAAGCGAATCATTCTAGGGATTAACATTCAATTTAGTTTCAATTTAAAGCCACCAATCTTAATAAAATAACCAATATTATCCCAAGCTAATAAAATATTTAAATGTGTTACCATTGAAATAAAAATATAATAACTTACTAGTCTGTGTATATCGATCGTCATATGGACCTTCACGATACGTGTTAAAACCTCTTTGACTCTCACGATCAGGCAAGTGGTTGTATGATTGAGATCGTGATGAGCTATCACTGGCTAATGAAGCTCGAATATCAGCTGTGGCTTCTAGCAAGTATAGTTCTGGGGCATAAGCCTAGTAGAAGGAAAATTCTAATAAATTAGCAACTGTAACAATTTGATAACTGTTTTAGGGTTACATCCAAAGGTCCTACTTTTCCTAAAATCATATTTAAATTTACAAGCAATCATGTGAATTCAATATCATTAATGGTACCTCATACATCCCTTACCACATAGATTATACGTTGAGATTTCCCTTGTACCCAAAAACTACAATTCGTATGATCTTTCCACGCAACATATTAATATTTCCTTACATTTTATATACTGCACCTGCAGAAGAATTACTTTATAGAAATATATACAGTACCCAAAATTTTGCTTGTTCGAGCTGAAGAAGACACCAAAATCCCTAGAGTAACTTTGGAAGTGAATGAAATAAAGACAGTCATTTTTTATTATCTATTTTAAAGATCATCTGTAGTTTTAGAGTATGGTACAAGGCAAAAGCCAAACTGAAGTTTGTTATCCTCATTATGGAGAACTGAGAATTAAAATAATAAGAGTGTGTCCGCGAGAACACCATGCAGAGGGTGATAACCCTTGGGTCAGGGATTTGGATTAAATTTTTTCTTTGAGATGAGTTAGTACCCAGATACATCCCCACAAAATATTAGTTGGATTCAGTTGATACCAACCTGGCAAATTGGAATAATATTTCTTTAATAGAAAAATACTAAAAAAATGGGCTATTTTGGCACTAAATTTGGATAATCTGTTAATCTGATAATAATTGATTTGGACAGATGAAAATTTTGGATATTAGTAGGACCACCCCGGGTCCTCCTACACCCAGAGTTTTAAGTTTCTACTGCCAATGATATCTTGGTACTCTGAAAATTGAATTTAATAAAAACCAAAGTTTGAGAGGCTACAGCCCATTCTCGGCAAGGACTAGGACCAAAGTTGAAGGTAACCCACAATTAGCAACCTTCTTACTAACAAATAAAAAATAAAAATGACCGACAAGGGCATAATAAAAAAAAAAGAGAAATAAATTAAAAACACCAAAGATTGGGATAAAATGTTCCGTTTATCAATACCCAGATGAAGAATATGTATGGACATCTTTACAAATTTAATATATTCCATTTAATCATTAGCAAGGATGATTAAGGCTTGAGAGGGAGACAAAAATTGAGGGAGACAAAAATTGAGTTTAACGTCCACTGGACACAAACTAGGTCATTTTGGGATAAACATATGGTCATGCATATGTTTGGACATCTTTACAAAGTTCATATATTCTATTCAGTCGTCATCAAGGGTGATTTTGCCTTGAGAGAGAAATGAAGTTTAAGGTCCACTCGACACAAACTAGGTAATTTTGGGACTAACATGTGATACAGTTTTATTTCAGTAATTCGCCTGTGCGAAAAGTGAGAATAATCCCCGAGGTTGGACAGACAACACTAGACCATGTTACCTACAAGCATGTAATGGAAACCATGCCACTTAACTCTATGACATACCTTATGAACTAAAGCGCATGTGTTAAACCACTTTTGTCTTAACCAAGGGACGGGAGGATTGTAGATGATCCAGTGGCATTGAGTCATAATCACATGATCAGTATTACCATTATATGTTTTAAATCAACAATGGAAAGAATGTTAGAATTGCATATGTACACATATATAATAGTAAGAGAGCTAGGTTTAGGCTGTTTCGAAAATCTTGTACGAAATTTCTACTATGCTAGATGAGTGTACACCGGTGCCCCATACTCTGAACCTTGATTCTTAAGTTGAGGGTCCCCTTCCTTCCTTATGAACACCCCCTTTAACCCCCCCCCCCACACCCTTCCTGCGTTCAAAGAGCGGCTATTTTGTCGTGTACTTTCATTTCGATTTTCCTGAAATTCCAATTCAACCTTCATTATGGTGGAATGGTAATATATCTAAACGTTTTTTTTAAAAAAAAAAAAAACAGCGGCTGCCAGGCAGGATACGCCCACATTTTGCAACAGATGGATAGAGAACAAGCTAAACAAAAAGTGATTTTTCGAACAATCAAGGGCCATAATTCAGGAAGTTACGATCTGATATGCGCAAATATCGAAAGGATTCAAGATCTTTGGATATACTAAAACTTTTTTTAAATTGGATAAAAATTGTGACCTCTAGTCACCAGTGGGATCACAAGCTAAAAGCGTACTATCAGGGGCCATAATTCAGGAAGTTACCATCCGATATGCGGGAATATCGAAAGGAAACAAGATATTTGGATTATAAACATGCATTTCAAGTTTCATTAAATTCGGATCACAATTGTGACCTCTAGAGTGTCCACAAGCTAAAAACATGATTTTTCGTACCATAAACCATGAAGTTATGGTTCGATACATGCCAGTATCCAAAGGAACTGATATCTTTGGGAGATAGATCTATATCGGATAAATTTGTGACCTGTAGAGTGTCCACAAACAAATTGTGGACGGACGGCCAGAGACGACGACAATATACGTCCACATGAAAATGTGGGCATATAAAATCTTTCTGATTTTTAACCAAAATACCATATTTGGCAAGAGGAATGTTCAAACAACAACATATAGTACTAATGTTGATAATTGATGGTCATTTGAACTTTTGAAGATAGTAGTCGGTCATCAGTAAAAGAAGAATCGCCTGGAAAATACTGATTTTTACACAATTTCAGAATAATGTAGCACACTAGTGGGTTTAGTGCCAGTCAGTTTTATTCTTCTGACATATACTTGGACGAATGCACTTCATAACCACACCAAGATATTCTAGGTCAGACCCGCCAAGAAGCAGCTACATACCTTTTAGGATGACATAAATTATGTAAAATGACCACTTAAAGATAACTCACAGAAAATTCCACACGATTCATTCATTCCAAAACGACTGCAGGATTTTAAGTCAATCACTTGGCCCATCATACCTGACCAATATTAAAATTTTAGGGCCACAACATTTCGGATTGGAGCATTTTGAAATTTGGGGAAAAAATTGGTCGAAATATAAAAAATTTGACCAAAAACAACAATTTCCAGTTATAGATATACTGTAAGTTTTTATTTTAATTTTCTTTTTCACTACATCGTGTGACTTCTGTCTCCTAAGGGTCCGCATAGATCAAGTATGATTGAAAATTACTGACACTGCCTGACACCCAGGGTTATGTTGTTTTTCTTTAATTTTTGCATGGTTCTCTCGCGGACGTGTTCTTAATATGAAAACAAACCAATAGTTTAGACTTTTAGGTCTTTTTTTAAAAAAAAGAATTTGCATATATATATATGAAGAAAAGGACAGCCAGTTTGGAGACTAAAGGGGGATAACTCTGAGTGACACAAAATCTATTCAGCCATTACATCAGAAATCAAAGCTGAATTTACTGTTAGAACATTGTTCTATAATTATTTTTCTTAGAAATTTGAGAGAGAGAATGCTGAGAAAGGAAATGAAATTCAATATAAGGTCTTACTTTTCTTTACAAACATGGCTAATCAAGATAGGCGTATTCCCTATTAAGGAAATATTGCACAGACTGTTGCATTTCTGACTAGGCCTTCACTTTATTTATTTCTAACTGTCAAGGATTCTCGGTTTGGTAGGTATACTGAATGGTTATTATTATTGATAAAATAAAGTTATTTCCTCCACAGAGGTTGGGGCAGGGGCACCTTGATTGGGCAAAATTGATGTATTTTCTTCTAAAGTGCTTCATGGATTTCAATCAAAGTTGGTATTATTGGTATATATTGAATGGGTTATAATATGTTAAGATTTGTTTAAATGAAGCAGGATTACCAGCAAGGGCCAAACTGAGATATTTTCCAATTCTTTTCCTGATCCACTCAATGGATTACAACCACAATTGGTAGATATGTTGCCTAGCCTGTGCTTATTCAAATTTGATTAAACAATAGACAAAGAGCAGGGGTACCCCGATTGGGAAATTTGTGTATTTTAATTTGATGATCAGTATTGTTACTATTGATTTTAATGTTCTTTTCTGAGGAAGCTTTTTTATTTTCAATTTTATTCACATTACAGTGTCAATATAGATTCCTTTTTCGATAAATATAATACTAGAGTAATTAGATCTCTATAAAATGGGTAGTTGACACACAAGCTGTAATGATCTTATAAAATATTCAATGAAATCAATGAGCTAGCAAGAACAATATTGCCTCGCGAGTTTTTTTCACTTCTCCTTTACATAATGTCGGTTATAGTATTACCAATATTAACTTATGGTGTAGACTGTAGTAAAGATAGGGATATTGACACAAGAAGGACCCAGTATCAATTTCATTAAAACACGGGTTTTCACTCTCTTATCCATATATTATTAATGTATGGATTGACAATACTAAAAAAATAAGATTTTATCAATACATATAATCTCATTATAGTTTAATGTGGCTGTGAATCATTATACCATGTTCGTCCACAATTATCGTTTATTGGACCCTTTTGCAATTCTGATAAGTTGTTCAGTCACTTAGAATTATTTAAATTGAATTTTAATGCTTTCTAACAATAATTCCCCTATAAAACACTCTAACTGCTATGGGATCTTTTTGATTCCCAAAATGACTAAGTTGCTTTGTGAGTCAATCGTTTATTTTTCATTCTCTAGTCCCCTCTTTCCACTATTTCTGGCAACGTATATTTACCCCATACAAAGCCTTTTGCTGAAGCCTCAATAAAAAAGGAGAAGAATGAAATGGGGTTTAATTTCTCGTTGACACTTTACAATAACAATTTTGGATAATATTTCCCAGGCACAGACTGTGTCCACCTACTCTTCGAACAAACTAACAAGGGATATTTTTCCTGCACTACCTATTTCTACACAGTGGCATAAAATTCAATGCTGACTTAAATTTATTACTGCTGCAATATATGTCCTCATTCCTGCTTTCATTGAAATGCTACTTTTTAAAATGAAGAGAATGAAATATGAAATGGCTGCTATGACTGTAATATGACAATTTACAGACTAAATATTAACAAAAAAGTGGGTGTGACACCTCCCCAGGGGGTTGGGGCATGCACCAAAATAAATAGTTGCTGTCTTAAAGGTATAAGGAATAAATATGCAAAGTTCCAAGATGATTCATTCAGAATTGCAGCCTGTAGACGATAAATACAAAAATTGGATGTGGCTCTGCCCCTGGGGGTTGGACATAGACCAACATAAATAGGTACAACCCTATGCTAGATCATTCCGAATAAGATCCAAATCTGTTAATAATTGCAATGTGTATATCATTTACAGACAAAATATCAACAAAATGTGGGTGTGGCACCACCCAAAGGCAGGGGGAGGGGAATCGTGCACGAACATCAATAGTTGCCGTTCTTGGGGTATAAGGAATAAGTTCTAAGATAATTCATTCAGAACCGTGTCCTTCAGGCGCTAAACTTAAAAATTGGGCGTGCACCAAAATCAATAGTTGCCGCCTTTAGGCTATAAGGAATACATATGACAATTTCCAAGCTGATCCATTCAGAATTGTGGCCTGTATACGATAAATATAAAATTTGGGTTTGGCTCTGCCCCTGGGGGTCGGGACATGCAGTTGTGGTACTTGGGCTATAAGGAATACATATCTCAAGTTCCAAGCCGATCCATTAAGAATCGTGGCCTATAGGCGAAAAACAAAGAAAGAAAAATGGGTGTGGCTCTGCCCCTGGGGGTCGGACAATAGGGATCATCCTTAGGGTGTAAGGAATAAATATGAAAAGTTTTCAAGACTATAGATGAAGAACTGTGGTCTGTAGGCGACAAACAGTCACAAAAAAAAAAAAAATGAGCGTGGCTCTGTCCTTGGGGGTTGGACATGCAAAACAAACAATAGGGATGTTCCTTAGGGTATAAAGAATAAGTATGTAAAGTTTCAAGATGATATGTTAAGAAATGTGGCCTGTAGACGAAAAAAACAAACAAATACAAAAAATGGGCATGGCTCTACCGCTGAGGGTCGGGCATGCATCAAAAACAATAGGGATCATCCTTAGGGTATAAATAATGAAGTATGTAAAGTTTCAAGATGATCACTTAAGAATTGCGGCCTGTAGGCAACACACACACACACACACACAGGGGCGACGGCAATATACATCTCATTATGTGGACGTAAAAAAATGGCCGAACACGGTCAGAATCTTTGGCCGTTTAATTACAATAAAAGGAGTGCCGACATTGCATGACAAATCTAATAAAAGAGCATTAAATATTTAGTCCATCATGATGATTCATAAAGAGATCTTTAGTACCTATATATCAACTGGGTTTTCATGAAGGATGAGAATTATATAAATTGTTTAAATCAGAATTAGTAACTGAACAGGACACAATTCTATTGAATATTACAAATACATTTATTAGAAATACAAGGATTCTCTAGTCTTTATCAAGTGAGTGAGAATTATATAATAGTGTTTTAGTTTAAGAATGAAGGTTAGCACACTATTGAACAATATCCCAGGGCATTCTTTGTTTCATATGATTCATTTCTACATTTAAATTAATTCCTTATCCGAGGCATTCCAACAAGTATTTAATAAAAGAAGTTTCAACTGTCTCGGGCAGCATTATGATGTTTTTCCTTCCAATTTTCATTCCTAACCAATAGTACAACAATTTCTCTATTTGTACTGATCTAAAAAGTTCATCTATTCATAGCAGTAGTTATAGTAGGGCGTACTATAATTTATATAACCTGATCAAAGATTAAATTCTGAACAGTGCTCTTGAAACAAGGTTCAACAGTCTGGGTCAGAGATGCGGTCTTAGAAAAACATGTCAGACATGTCCTACGTGGATTGGCAATCATACAACCTCAAACGCCCTGTGCTATGAGGGAAATTTTGCCTGGGCAGCAGCACAATGTCCTACTCTTATATCGAATTCCAACTGCCAACGGATCTCTTATGTGCACGCCAATGTGTACACGGGACCTTGGTTTTTCATCTTATCTGTACGACAGGACAGCTGTCTTTGTCAGGCCCTCCGTCCCGCACCACTGACAAGGGGGAAACCACGTTGGAAAATCCTGATGAACTTTCTCGGCCAATGCAAGGATCGAACATGCGAACTCCAGGCTAGCGAGCCAGCGTCTACCCACTTAGCCAGCGTGGCTCCCGTCATATTGCTGCACTCTGAACCAAGATATTAGCGATTCAAGTTTAGGCTAGCCTTGATCTTCATTACTAATAATGACACGATAATAAACAAAGTCTCGATTATCCATTTTTACGTTAAATTATCCATTACAAAATGTATTCAAATCCACTAAGTATCGTAGGCATCGAGAGTTCATTATGGTCTGGATAAGTTAATTAATGTCTAATTAATAATTTAGATAACATTTCAGGCCTAAAGAAAGACCTGCAATAGGCAGATTTAGCTCTTGCATAATGCATGTTTAATTGCTTAATCTGCCTTGACTGACTACTTAATCTAAGTGATTTCCTTTATATCTTAATCCTAAAAACAATTTATGGTTTCTCCTTTGTCGGACATTTAATCCCCTTGATGTCGGTCGACGAGATGTTAAAACTAATCGAACCTCTGGAAAAATGGAAATTCAAACCAGTGAACCTTCAGATTATTAAGTTGCTAATGCTACCTTGAACCGTGAGTCTCAGTTCTTAGAATTTCTACTGAGGCCCTTGGCCAAAGTGCATCAATCTATTCATATTTGAATACTTTATATTTCTCAGAACTGAGAACATCAATAATATTGTAATTTGCAATACATTAAAATGACTTACCACTGGAGGTAGGAAATGTTTCGCTTTAAGTTGATATTCTTGTTTAGACTTTAACTGGAAAAAAAAATTATTCAAGTATGACATGAGGTTTAAAATCTCATTCATTTCAACACAATCATTCGAAAACCTTAATAATAAGTTTTTACTAATAATAACAATTCTTAATTTAACAAACAGAAATCGGTTAATCTAATCATTATCCTCTATCTTTATAACACTACTGATGACAAAATAAGTTATTTAAAATTAACAGAATAACAGATTTAGCAAAGCCCGACTTACTCCAATCTTTTTAGCATAACAAAATAATCTATATAAGCTTAATCTAAAAATATAAAATATTGAAAACTAAATAGGTTGTCGTAACTTTCATTGTGGTCGAATCTGATGCTAATATACATTTGAATTATTATTTCTGGGTTAATCTTGTATTGTGGACGGATTATTGTTGAAATATATACTGAGGTGTATTGCCTATTGTCAAGCTGGTTATAACATACAATGATTCCATGAATAACCAACCAAGCATACAAAAACTTATTTGTTGACTATTCATTGTTGAAGTTTCAGTTCAAGCATTGTTATGTCTACCAATAAAAACAACATGTCTATAGATCAGAGGCAGTATTTAATGTAGTTATCCCCAGTCAAAATATTTTGTCAATGGAAGAGTTTTATAAATATAATACTTTTAGGCTTTCAAGATAAGGCTTAACGTCCTCTTGCAACAAACTTGGCAATTTCAGAACTAACAATCCCATGGTTAAATTTTATTTCAATAGTTTGCTTGCGCGTTTGGGTCTTTGCTGGGGGATGGGGGGACTGGTTGGACACTAAAAAGGTGACCCTACACCTTTGGACTAAACATGCCACTTCACTGAATGACAGAACGCATTATCTGAATCGCTTGCATTAGACCACATGACACCCCAATCCCCTGCCCTTGATGCTTGTGCTGCCGCCAGTACATTTTGATTATTGATTTTCTTTTCTTTCAAATATAATTAAAAACTTTACTGTGTAAACTTATCATCTTGAGTGTTAAGAGACTTAGCTTTAAACAAAAAATAGATTTCTTGAAAAGTTTAACAATGTGTTTTGATTGGCTGTTCAGAGAAGTTATTTCCATCCAAGTACGTACAAGATGTTTTTGCTATTAAGTACAGTTAAAACTTCTAATTCTATAAAGTACAATAAGGTTTTCAGCATAACAAGTCAATAATACAGAATTTTATTCTTATTCCTGCACTAACAGAATAAATCAATATATGTACAGCACATGCATCTTAAGTTAAATTCATATTGTGTTATTAACATTTGTTATAAATAATCAATAAAACTAATAAAAACACTGAAAAATTATTTCAAATTATATATTCATTGAAATTCATGAACTGGAGTAACCTTACAAGATTTAATCTTAGTCTTAGAAACTTGACCAAGGAAAGATTACGATTGCAAAAATGGTAATTTAAGAAATGTTTATAGTCCCAAATTTCACATATTTTGGAAAGATGTTTCTAAACGTCTTGAAAATTTCAAAATGAGCTTTTCCACTTGCCCGATTTGTTCACAGAGTTGCAGTACAATTATTGTCTTTGCCCCTGGCAGTTGAAAAACCCTTGCTATGCCATCAAATTTATTAGAGAATCCCAGAAAGTTTAATACAAAAAATATCAAAACCTGTCTGACTGTAATAATTAAACTGTTTTGAAAACAAGCTTCCATTATAAAATTAGTAATTTAGTATTTTAAAATTGGTATTGTTTATTGTTTCCAAATATTTTTCTAGTAGTGTTTCATATATGAAGAAGATCTGGTATGTTTGTGTCTCATAATTAATTCATTATACAAATCTAATAAAGGATCCTTGAGAAAATCAAAACAGACAAATTAAGAAAATCAGGTGAGAAAAAAATTAGTTGTAAGACATGAACCGCACAATCACGTCTATTGTTATTGGGTGGAATAAATTAACCAGAGCATGTGAACATTAGCTTTAGAGACAATGCCAAGTTATCAGGAAATGGTACTTCATCAACCTAATTCCCTTGATATAGATTTAGCATGTAAAACATCAATAATTGTGGAACTATCATTTCAGTTATAAATAGGTAATGTCTACGTGAGGAAACGTTTAATTTGTGTTAGCGTCACGATCTAACTTTCTCACGATTCAGGTAGAGTTTAATCAATAAATGATCGATGATGATCTGCCTCCAATAGTGTTGTATATATTACTTTTTCTGATTAATCTTGTCAAAAATTTGAAATTCAATCTAATAAAGACAATACCGTATATTGTTGGTGGGGAATGTAATGAAATAACAGATAAAATTCTAAAAGCTTTTCAGAGAATATATAATGAAGCATTAAAAATATTTTTCGATAAGACTTGATAATTTGATTGAGACAAATGTATGTCATTAAGAACTGATAAACTGGTGTTTGCAGTTCAAATTTAAAAGCCATACTGATTTAGGATTGACTTTCAAGCAGATCAGCAAACAAAAGTGATAATGCCTCTGTATGAACATATTTACATTCAGAATCGGCAATACTATATACCGGAAAACACCATTTTATACTGAATACCGGTAAACACCAGAAAAACACTAAATACCGGAAAACACACTAAATACCGGAAAATACCCTAAATAGGTAACCGGTAGCCTGGTCCTCTGTGTGCCTGGGTTAGGGTTAGTTTCTGGTTTATAGTATAGCCCTTCTCCGGGTTACCTATTTAGGGTGGTTTCCGGTATTTAGTGTGTTTTCCGGTATTGAGTGTTTTTCCGGTGTTTTCCGGTATTCAGTATAACATGGTGTTTTCCGGTAGTTTTCCAGTGTTTTCTGGTTGTTTTCCTGTGTTTTTTGGTATATAGTATAGCCCATTCAGAATGTCTACCTCCATTCGTTACCAGTATATAATTTATAAAGCTCTCTCTTTTTTTAAAGTTGATGTAGACACTAATTGAAAAGAACAATGAACCCTTTCATTTAAAATTAATGAAAGAAATTAAGGTATATTTAGGTGTATTAGGTGTATAGTAATTCAAATAAATACAAAATTTGATATCCACCCAACACAAAAAAATAAATAAATAACTTACTCTAGTTAAACTTCGTCCTACAGAACGGAGAAATATAAAATCTCCAGGCACTAAATCTTCTAATTGTCGAATTAATTCATCTCGTACATCAATTAATTTGGTATCTGGTGGCACTCTAAAATTATTTTTCAAAAATCAAAAATACATTTAATATGCAAACAGCACAATTGTCCACATTCCTACCTTGATTCATAATATGGTATTTTTTAAAATAAAGTGGGTGTGACTCCGCCCCTGGGGGTCGGGACATGCACCCAAAAAAATAGTTGCTATTCTTACAGTGTAAGGAATAAATATGCCAAGTTCCAAGATGATCCAGGATTCAGATTTCTTAAAAACAGCTCTACACAAAATTGGGATGGACTTTTAAAAACTGGGTTGATTCTTTTTACTAATCATTGCATGAAAATGTGTAAACTTATGTATTACTTGGAATCAAAAATAAATTTATATCTCATGCTATATAGATCTTGAATTGAAATCTTGTCAAAAGTGAAGGGTAATCTTGTTGCCCCAGTAACATATTTTCAGATCATTTTTCAGTTCCTATTTAATAAGAAATTTAGTAACTCTCTCTACACAGGAAAACATATTGAAACCATCCTACCTTATAATTCCTATAGATATGGTTTCAGAAACAGCTTGATTTAAAAGATTATTGAATCGATCTCGCCATATATCTGGTGGTACTATATACACATGTAGATCTACCAGCTGGAAAATATAATAAAATACACATTATAATGTATTAAATTTTTAAATAAAACAACAAAATACTTGAAAAGAATTTATCATACAGTGAGTACTATTAACAATCCTGGAAAGAAGTCATCTGTCAGAGACAGGCACAAATTCAGGATTTTTGTATGGCATAATCTCCCTGGGCTCTGTCATTTTGTCTGGTACTACTTTGTCTTTTTTTTATTAATTGATATTATTTATGTCTAACACAGTTGTGCCCAATATTTTGTACAATCAAAACTGTTATTTTTGGGCCTGTTTATTTACTACCAGTCTGGATACAAGTGTATGTTTATGTTCTTGAACTACTCTTGACATGTTATTGGTGTAAATGAAATTCAGTCACTGTACATACAATATATAGAACCAATTAAAATAGTTATCCATGGTAAAATATTTCATGTAGCATTAACATAAGAAATGGTTCCACAACTGAAGTCTTCCATCTTGCTCAAGTGGACAAGACAAGGGGCAGCTACAATATTGCATCTACTATTATTAGTAGAAGGTTACTTGTAAAATATTATCAGGAAACCATGCCATTGGTATCAACACTGTGATGGGGTTTTTTGTAGCAATCCTCAACAAAAATGTTTTCGAGATGTTTCCTAATTTTAAGTATTACCTGCAGCACCTGGTCCGAGACTAGTTGGTTGGTTCCTCCGAATGAGGGTGGGGTTGGGCATAACAGATAAAGAGAGAGAACTGGGCTATATCATATGGTATATCTTTACTTAAATAATTCTGTTGCAGGTCTCTAACTTGGAAAGAAACTGGAGAAGACCAACAGGTAAAACAGGCAACATTTATTCCTTCTCCAGCGCAAGAGTGGGATAAAAAGACCAAACTTGAATCGTTAAGACTTTGGAAGTTAACCTGCACAAGTATTAAACAACTCAACCACTGATCTCCCAGCTCTTCAGGATACAAAAATGTATGAAATTGGGTTTAATGTCCTGTTTCTGCATCAATCAAAACTTTAATTAACTTGTATTATAAGAGATTATCAAAACTTTAACTTGTACAAGATTATCAAAGAGATACTTGAAATAAAACTTTCATATCAGATACAGTTGTGTAGAAATTTTTAAAGAGAAGCACAAGGTGCACTGAGAAAAGCTAAAGACAGTAACTTGGCTCTGTACCTGCATTTCATGCATAATACATAACATATAAAAATTGACATGAAATGGCTAATATTTCTAGTAAATAATTTAGTGCCAAGCGTATAAACATGAACATGTAATATATAATTTAGTGCAAAGATTATAAAATTAAGATAAAACATGAACGTGAAATATTCTGAGTTAACAAGACGTCACTGTTACATTTTCAATTTGAATTCAAAATTGATAGAACATAGTTTTACCGGATTAATTGTAGTATCCTCATGTTCTAGAACTAATCTATCACTATTCTGTAGATCATTTAAATCCCTTGTACTGGTGGAATAAGACATCTTATTTTTAAATGAACAATCTATCACTTTTTTAAATATTCACTTTTCCCAAATTTGTCCACCGCGAACAATTGATGCAATAAAATTAAACTGAATTTTCTCTCCAAACTAACTGTAAATATCTGGTCGTTTTGGCAACAGCATACACACATTCAAACACGAAAAACATCAATAACTATTATGAATATTTCGCTATTGATTTTGATGTTTTAAAACAGCATCTCCAAGGTAAGGTAAGAATCAATAGCTGAAAGGTGAAAATATTAATTGCTACAGCAGGTATGACAGTAAATGCTTGAGATACCACAAGATCAATATAATCATCCAATACTAAACACTTGGTTGTCATGACTTGACGCTAGCCGTCCTCCTTTTCTTCAAAATCATTTGTCTCTTGTAACCATGGATGCATAGAATAACTGCATAGGGGGAAAAAGACACCAGCACTTTGACAACTTTAGATTCAATTTAATTTGTTCTTAGCCAATACATGGTCAATAGCCTAATGAAACTAAACAAAACTTTTGATACAATGCTTAATCAGGGCATGAAATAATATTTACTAAAGATTCTATGATATTTTCCATTTTTATTATTTGCTAAATAAACATACACCATTAAAAAAATTCAATTAGAAAAGCCGAAACGAGACTGATTTCGCACAAATAAATTTTTATGTGAGTTTATATGAAATGCCAAAATGTGGCAAAATGACTGTGTCTGAAAATATAGAGCTTATTGGAAATAACCACCCAAATTGCCAAACACCAAAATACATCATATCTGTGTGTTGGTTTAGACAATTGCAATGTGAATGTTCTGTGGTCGAGTTGAAGAAAAATAAATGGAGGTGGACTAGGATGGTAGGTGCTAGAGAATAGGCACAGTATTTTGATAGAATACATTAGAAATGATATAGGTGTCGATGGCTATTTTCAAAAATTTGGATAAATTAAAATTAGGTTTCACTGATATAATTTCAACAATTATGGTTGTAGAAAATCACAATATCAAAATCAAAATTAAATGTCAGAGAAAAATATATAAAATCATCAATGGGTGTAAAATTGCATATAAACACTAGTTCTAATCTCTACATCACTTTCCAAGTAAGTAACCTGATCAGATTTATTTCAAATGCTTTCTATTTTACTTTAAACATGACATTTTCAATCTCACAAGTAGCCAGATAAAGCAATATAAGCTTATATTTATATAGATTTAAAAAAAAAGAAAAATATGTTTAAATAGGTAAATAAACTAATGGCGCCTCATTTACATAAGAGAAGTTTCGGGACAGAGTGTAGATGATGATGCTGTGTAGAGATTGAATGATGGTATAATCCCAAAACTTCACTTCTCCAAACCATGGGATAATGATTATCAAGTTTCTTTTAACCTGGAAGGCACCTGTGGGCATTTCACTAAGGTCAAATGATTTTACACCAAGCTGTGTTAAACAGCAAGCAATTTCATAATTTTAAGGTTGGTAGCTGGTTTGAAAAAAAAAACTACAAACAGAACAAGCCAACAGTGAGGCTGATGTCCCCCGCCGAAATCCCAAGATAAATAGATGACACATATTAATTAATCGCACATTTATTTTTTTCAAAAGTAGCAAGCAATCAAACTGATTATCAACTATACACTAAGTCTCATCACTCTCTATCAGATCGAATCAAAGTTATTTTGTCCTAAAGCATCGACCAATGAAATTGCTTAGCTCTAGCTCAAAATGTTAACCATTGAACTCAGTCAAGACATTCACCTAATGAACATCTACATCAAGTTTAAACATTCTACCTCAATTAAGCAGAGTTGTTATGTTCCAAAGTATTGAACAATCAAATTGCTTATCGCTCCTTAGCCTAAGCAGAAAATTCTACTCATTTAACTTAGTCAAGGTAATAATATGATAAAACTATACACCAAGTGGCCTCACTCTCACTTAATTAGAACTAAAGTTATCGTGTCCCAAAGCATCAACCAATCAAATTGCTTATCTCTGCTTACTCTAAGCAGACAATTCTCATCTTCAAACTCCATCAAGACATTAACCTAATGAATATCTACATCAAGTTTGAACATTCTACCTCAATTAGAATGAGAGTAATTGTGTTCCAAAGTCCTAGACCAATCAAATTGCTTATCGCCCTGCTTACCCTGAGCAGAAAATGCTCATTATCGGACTTAGTCAAGGTATTGATGTAATAAAACTATACACCAAATTTCATCACTTAATTAGAACTAAAGTTATCGTGTCCTGGTTATCAAATTCCTCATCTGTGCTTACCCTACAAAGAAAATGCTCATCTTCGAACAATATCAAAGCACTGACCTAATAAACACCTACATCATGTTGAACATTCTACCTCAATTCGAAGGAGAGTTATTGAGTTCCAAAGTCTCGGCCAATCAAATTGCTTATCGCTCTGCTTACCCTGAGCTGAAAATGCTCATTATCGAACTTAGTGGAGGTATTGATGTAATGAAACTATACACCAACGTTCATCACTCTCACTTAATTAGAAGTAGAGTTATCGTGTCCCAAAACATCAACCAATCAAATTGCTTATTTCTGATTACCCTAAGCAGAAAATGCTCATCTTCGAACTCCATCAAGGCATTGGCCTAATAAACACCTACACCAAGTTTGAACATTCTAGCTCAATTAGAAGGAGAGTTATTGTGTCCCAAAAAGTGTGACGGACAGATGGACAGACAGACGGACAAACCCATTTTAATAGTTGCCTGCTTTCTTCCAAAGGCGGGGGACAAAAAGCTTATATAAGTGTTTAAATAGGTGTGTTGGTGTATACCATTTCTATAAAGGTTATTGTCAGACTGTTAAAATTATTGACCCTATAATAGAGTTAATGGTTTTTCCGCACTCACACTTTACATTGATCACTAAGAAAAGATATACTAGTTTGTATATATCACAATGTTCAATGTTTGTACACCCCAACAGAGCTGAACTGTAAAGTGCTATTCATAAGCCACTAGCAACAGTCAACAAACGTTTAAAGTTAATTGATCATTTTATACGAGGTCTCTAATGTGTATTTAGGGAAATATATATTATTAAAATACCTGTATAATACTCTACCACACCACTTTGTTCGTCTATATCTAGCAATATGTAATTTCAAAACTATTTCTACAGCTATGTTATCATTATATGGTAGCTACCCAACAATCAAGAGCTTATATTTGAATGTTATCACATATCTGAGACAAATTTACACAAGGAGTGTTTTTTTCATGATTATTGTCTGACAATTTACATGCCAGAAAACAAAGATTCTTTTAGAAATTTACAAATTAAAACACCACAAATCACCATTATCAACATGCTTATGTCTTTCGAAAGGAACCAAGATCTGTGGGTTATAAACATACATGTCAAGTTTAAACCAAATCGGATAAAAATTGTGACCTCTACAGTGTTCACAAGCTAAAAACGTGATTTTTCGTACAATCAGGGGCCATAATCCATGAAGTTACAGTGCGATACATGCCAATATCAAAAGGAACCAAGATCTTAGGGTGATAAACCTATATTTCAAGTTTCATTGAAATCGGATAAAAATTGTGACCTGTAGACTGTTCACAAACAAAAGTAGCTTACTTTATCATCCTCTGTTTCATCTTCTTTAAGATTCAACTTTAAAGTTGCCATTATAACAACAGTTTTTCAAGAAAAAAATCTGTCAATTTTCAATTAAATATCCAAAGCAGCAAAAGAACTATATCTGTAAGTATGAGTATTGAATTTGATTTTACTTTTGCATAAACCAAGTAAAACATACGATGGTTGTTTTACGTTGCTACACAAACATAACCTGAAGCTTGCTACTCGGACCAATCACATTTAAACCCTAATAATAATGTGAGGCTAATATGATCTATTCATACGGTTAATAAAAAGATCACTTTTAAGACAAGCTAGAAGATTATGGAGTGTGAATAAAGAGGGATCATCATATCACATGTAATCCTATAGCTTGAAAAGTAATTTCGGTGTTAATAATATATATTATTGAAGCCTATAGAAATTATTCACCTGTTACTGGCTGTTATGCATGTTCTAGCAATCAAGACATTTGAACTATTCTATACCGTTATTAAGTAAATTGATATAACAACATTCTAATATTTATCCTGCTTTTCAATTTGAACACGGTAACCAAGTAATTAATATGGATCAATTTTATCACTAACATTTTCAAATCAGTGAAAGGGAATTATGTTTTATTTTAATATTTATGACTCTGAACTGCCACAAATATCGTACACAAAATGAAAATCTCATTAAGCACATGTTTGTGAGAGTTTCAGGTCAAATGTTTGACCAACCGGGGTTTTTGAATAGTATAAATAAAAACGCCCACCATGTGAGTCCAATCAGTCTGAAGAGTTCAATAGGAACGAAACTAGACACTGACACCTGGGATTACCAGATCTTCATAGCCATTCTTATCTCTTATATTATCTCACTCTTTGCATACGATCTCGTTGTGGTTAATTTTGTTGATCAAATCAGTCGATTGTAATTGTCCTTTTTGCCTCGGAATCAACCACCACTTTGACGGAAGATATTCTCTCTTTATTCTCTCAGCTACGAGAGATACCGTAGAATCAAATCGGTCCAGAGCCGATCTGGTTGAAAAGAAGTCGCTCATTCAACAAAGACACATAACCAAAGGACAACATGCCTACCCTTCCATTACACAAAAGAGAGACACATACTATAGTCGCCTCCCACCACTTCCGATTCTCATATAAATAAATTATTTGGTACTAATTCATACCTAAATATATTTAAACCCTCGGGCGCCATGTTGAATTACACAGTATTTAAGTGACAAATCTAAACTTGGGCACTCCAACCATTTTGATTTTTGTCTTAAAAATGTTTAAGTGTTTGATATGAATATATGTTACCAATTGCTTTATGGAGAACTGATCTGAGAATCTTAAACATTCAGCAAGAAACATCTTAAGTAGCATTTAGTTTAGTAATTGAACACATCAAAATAATCACAACAGTTCTATGGAAGACAATTTCAGTATTTTATTCAGAGATAT